GTTAAGGCCATTCTAATTATTAACCAAAATTCTCCTCTGTAAACATAAACTAACAGACTTATCTATTTCAATATTTTTCACATACTTAAATACACCAGTTGTATATTTTATAGTAATGAGATTATAGAATTTTGTTTATGTCCCGTAAGATTTTTTGGTATGGTGATTTACTTTTATTCAAATATTAATTTTATTTATCATTCCCCACCTACCCCGTCCACGAAATACATTAACTGTGAAGTGGACGTTAAAATCCCCTAAACCAGCCAGCTATAGCTAAAACGTTTTCTACTTGCGAGAATTCAATGTGCAATTCACTGAGTATGTGCCATGTCGCATATTTGTTCACAAGTGTTGGTTTGCAGCTACTAAAATAAGATGTCATATAAAGAAGTCATATAAAGAACACAACTACCATTTAATTATAAAATCAATTATATTAAATATGTTGATATTAAATAGGTCATAGATAGGATAAAATCATGTTTGTCCAAAGGAAATAGTAAAACAGTTGAGCAGTTGAAAACATTTAAGTATCTCTCATATTTTCCCTTTAAGAAAATAACGCAAACACCAGAATGGAATTTATTCGATCCAGACAGGAAAGAACGTCAATTGCTGTTCATATGACCTGGTTACAGAATGTTCAAACAGAAATACAATGAAGCGACACACCCTTTTCAATTTACCTTGGGACACCCCGAACAAAACATATTACATGTACACGATTTTCCTGCATAAAAACGCAATAATCCGCAACAAATAGCCAGAGCGATGTCCCTGTCAGTTGTGTACAAAGTATCATATTGCAAACTAAATTTACAGGGTAAACTGATTTCCATAGTGCTGTGCAGGTTGTACATTGCTGTACTGTTGTTATGTTAACATTGCACACAGATCAGGTCTAAGTATGGTAAACAGTTCTATTTCGTCCTTATTTCATGTCCGAACACATCCACAAACTCCGGTTCCTAAAAAACATATTATTCATGCTCCAGATTTAGACAACGTCCATGAAGTCCCTTCGTTAACATTGAGATGTGGTGAATATAGATTCATAAAGCTTTCATTGTACTGTATTGCTGGTGCCAAGACAAAAACGAATTAAATTTTACTTATTTTTAAAAAATTATGTGATCAGTTGCGTTAATCGCCGACAGACCCTCCATATGCATGAGTATTTGGCGATGTTGTTACAGCTTTACTATGCCTTGGACGGGGTATCTGAGGGACTGATGACCATTTGGTATTCTCTGTGTGTTAGCAACAATGGAGTTTTTACCAGTCTGAAACATGGTTATATTTCATACCACCCCCAGAACTGCTGATGCACGTTTCAGACAGATAACGACCCCTGTTAACATACTTGCCTTTTATCTAACATCATTTAATATTGCACTTATACCAGGTTCTTTGAACAAACAGACCCGTGAAGATTCCGGGGTAGAATAGGTCTTCAGCAACCCATACTTGCCGTAAAAGGCGACTATGCTTGTCGTAAAAGGCGACAAACGGGATCGGGTGGTCAGGCTCGCTGACTTGGTTGATACATGTCATCGATCCCAATTGCGTGGATCGATGCTCATGATGTCAATCACTGGATTGTCTGGTCCAGACTAGGTTATTTTATCGACCGCCATATAGCTGGAATATTGCTGAGCGGCGTTAAACAACAGACAAACAAACTTGAACAAACAATTAATGTAGTGATGCTTACATATACTGATTATGTTATTATAAGTTTAAGGTAGTAATGCATCGAAGAAAAGGTAAACATGTAGTATGCATTATTGTCTGATATGAGAAAGCGTCATGTCATGTGTATACAGAAACAAATGCTCTTTTATATTGTATTATATACTTGGGTGATGGTGATAATGACATTTTATATAAAATTTTTATAAATAAATGGTATTAGGAAGACTAAAACCCCATAAACACATATTTTTCTAATAAGTAGAAACCGTTTGTCCACTGTGTGACGTAACTGTTTGTCAGTTCATGTAAATCGTTATTATATTTTACATGCGCTTTAGAAAGTATTTTAAAATTTTCTGTGAACCCAAACCGGGCTGTATATTCCAATTTAATAATCCGTTTTAAAAAAATCAGCATTAATCAATCATTATTACGGAGGTATTACCTTTGTATATATCAAAGATGTATCTTTGTGTATATGAACCTCCTACGTCCTTCCAGCGGGTATTCCGGATTAACAAAACCCAGACAAACCGGCTTTCGCTGCTGTCATTGGGATGTCACTTAAACTTGTCACAACCTCAAGCGGACGATGGGATACTATAGTGTTTAAAGCGTAAGCTTGTCACGCCGAATGCCGGTATTGATTATGTCACATTGGTACAATGTGTGAACGCCATTTCTACTGTCTCTTGTTCAACGGAATCTGGTTTTATAAGAGATTTCCTACTATTATGGACGCGCTTGACACTTTTATTTACATCGGGTTTGTCGGTATTTAGGGACAGCACAATCAAAAACTTGCCAAAGACATTTCACGTGAACAAGGAATACGTGTTATAGGAAATAAACGACTCATGGTCGTTGTTTATCTTACAATAATACACTGACTCGTTTATTTCATATATGAGATATCAACTTTATATACTCAGGCTCTTTGAGGATATTAAGATGTACAAGCTTTAAATATATTTACCCGTATTAAAATAATGATGACTCCATGATTACAGTCCGATCTCGGCAATGTTGAACAAGTCCATTTTATGAACAGGTGGGTTAAGTTTGATATTTCCCGGATATTCTCCGGATATTCTCCGGATAATTTTCACATTTTCCCCCAATACCGATTGTCATATATCTCCCACATATGGGTACGATCGATCGGCCAGTGCGTTTATTAACGTTGCCCATTTACACCTATGGGGAACAACTCACTACACACTTTCCCCTCAACATTAATGTCGTCCAATTTTCGAAATGTCCAAGTTGACAGCGCATGTTCGATTCCCCAGAAATGACATCATGGTAGAACAGTGTTTTATCGTGCTTTCACCGCGCTTCTTTCTTCATTGTTCTGTGCGATTTATGCTTGTATACGTGCATAATAGTTGGATTTTTTAAAAATTTCTAACAAAGTCATATTTTCTGTTCACGTGCTGGCTTGCACAAAGTAGATGTGTTGGATGTCGGACTGAACGGCCTTTTCACGTACCTTAGTGGAGATTCAGGGTTAGACTATGTCACTAGCAAATTATGCTTGTGGATCGTGTGGTCAGGATGGTCAGATTGTCTTGGCTGATATCCGACCGTGTAGTTCGTTGCTCATAATATTAATTATTGGATTGTCTGGCCCAGGATCACATATCCTCAGGCCATTGTCACATACATCTAGCTGAGCATGGCTTTATCCAACAAACAAACCATCACATACAGTGGCCTTTGCGACATATTATAGTAGCCATAGTATTGGCCTAAGTATATTTGTATGGATTCATATAATTTGTGTGTGTTTATTTGTTTTGTTTAGGATTTTGAATGTTATATAGTAGAGTTAAATCTTGATTAGATGTTGGCTGTGTCGTGTTGAAAACACATATCAAGCATATAAATAAGGTCATGTGAAATTGTTCATTTATATCTTTTTGTTGATTTTAAATAAACAGAACATGTATTTTGAAAGCATTTTGTTGTCCAAAATCTGTCAAGTAGATGTTGATGGGCTGGTTCTGTTTTTGTGACGGGTGCCATCGGTGGGGCAGGATACCACACTATATGGAGACCTCAGTATCTGGTCTGGACTGGATTATTTACAGACCGCCGTCAATATAGCTGGAATATTGCTGAGTGTGGCGTTAAACTACACACAAAAACGTGACATGACGGAAATACTGTGAACACACAATGCCATTTAGAAAGTGGTCAAATGTAACAAATGGTATATTTGGGATAACACTCTCTTCGTAAAGGGGCGGTCGGGGAGCCTAGTGGTTAAAGCGTTCGCCTGTCACGCCGAAGACCCGGGTCAGATTCCCCACATGGGTACAATGTGTGAAGCCCATTTAAGGTGTAACCCGCCGTGATATTGCTTGAATATTGCTACAAGCGGCGTAAAACCATACTCACTCACTCACTGTCGTACCTTTTAGGGTTGTGACACTTAATCGTCAGCACACAAAGTCAGCGATCTAACCAATTCAGCCACCGAGGCTTCCACTTACATGAAGGTCCGACAACTGGTAGTCTAGATCACGTACTTTTGCGTACCCCTCTGACGTGTAAATTGGCACGGCTCCCGTGGCCGAAAGCTATGAACACACAATGCTATTTAGAAAGTGGTCACATGTAACAAATGTTATATTTGGGATAACACTTTCTTCGTCCTGTCCGGGATTCGAACCTACAATCTCAAAGGGAGCCACCTAATCGCCAGCACACTTCTTTACTCTGGCAGTGTGAGGTTCGAATCCCGAACGGGACTCGACCCAAAACAGTACGAGAATCAGTACTTTACGAATAAAGTGTTATCCCAAATATAACATTTGTTACATGACGGAAATACTGTAAACTGTACATAGCCACTTTTTAACCAAACTCACTCACTCCTTGCTGAGGACCGCGTCCGTGGTCTAGTGGACTGAGCGTCCGCCCGGAGACACACACACGTGGATGCACGGCGCTATATAAGTGCAATAATCTTGACGTTAAACCCCATTTCACCTCATCTAACTACTTGTTGGAAAATGTGGATAACTGGCCGATCGCTTTCCCTTACCGAAAGGGCCTTTCACACCTAGCCGATTTGGGTCGCCGGAGCAATACCGGAGCACAAAGTTGGTAATTTTCGGCGATCAGTACTAGTACGGCAGTGCAACGGTATCACATCGCAAAGAACGGTAATACATCGTCAGGACATCGTGAAAACATCGGCAAAAAAATAAGCAACGGCAGGCGACAGTAGAATATTTTTAACATGCTCAAAAATGTCCGCCTTTACGCTGCCGGAGCGATCAACGGGACAACAACAGCAGTACTGCGGTATGGTTTCGTTAATGTCGGTAGAGCACCGGTAGCGACCCGTAATGGATCGGTGGCTCTCCGGCGGCCTCAGTGTTTACCGTACTGGTACCGATGTCATACCGTAGTACTACCGAATACCACCGAAGTAGTACCGATGCGCCGCCGATGTGACACCGGAGCTCCACCGTCACACCATTAGTGCACCGGCAGCGCAACGATATCACTCCGTTATAGCTCGGGTCAACGGTGGTACATCGACATAACATCTACGGCGCATCGGTAACACTAAGGTGACGGAAAAGTGGTATTCGGTAGCACATCGGCTCTTACATCGGTAGCACAACGGTATCACAACGGGGACGCCGGTACTACATCGGTATTGCTACGGTAAATTCTGATTTTTCAAGTGTTTTCTCACCGGAGCTCCGCCGAAATTCTCGCCGTTGTTAATTTTCTTTCTCCGGTTTAGTCCCGGCGAAGTACATCAGTAGTGTGTGGCAGGCCCAGAACAGTTCATGCACTGCACTTGTTACAGTCCTAACGACCTTTGCCTCCCATGACACACACACATAACGTGCATTGTCTCATATGTATATTAACCCATCAGTGCGTATATATCTCACATGACTTATATATAGTTGAACAATGCTTACAGAATCTACAGAGCTTTAAATGAAACACACCCACACATGTATAGCTACTTACAGTTACGTAGATAAGTCGTTGTTGGAGGAACTTGGTAAAACGGGCCGCGATAATCAACAGTGGATATACAGTGGTAAGTATACACACTACCTGTTTCTTTGATGAAAATGACATGTTCTATGGAGACAATGTTTACATGCCAATAGAAGTACAGTAAACTACGGTTATAACGAACACGCTTATAACGAACTGACGGATATAACGAACTTACTTTTTTGGTCCCGACTATTTGCTGTATTCATGCTGTATATATGCTTATAACGAACTAAAATTAGTAGTCCCTTTGAGTTCGTTATAACCGTACTTTACTGTATGTAGCTACTTAATGTATAGGGGCATGGGTGGCCCAGTCGTCTGAGGCGCCGAAAGAGTTGTGTCCCTTGGCACACCAGAACCCTATGATCGTGGGTTCGTCAGCACCATACCCGTGCTCGTGGGTTTCACCAAAGTGGTAAACGTCATCACTTTCCTCCCACATTAGGCTGACATACGCCGTGATATAACTGGATTGCTGTTCAAAGCGGCGTTAAACCCAACTCACTCACTCACCCCGTATATTATGCACACAACCTTGCCTTATCTTATTGTTTGTCTTTTGTTTAGGATATGGCGAGCATTAATTTCATGCTGATAACAGTTGCTGTTTTGGGCAACATTTTTGAAGGTAACATTTAGTCTACCTCGCTCCATTTATTAATTTACCTATGAATATGAGACATATTGCAGATTATACATTCTATGTTTCAATTAAATGTGAACTGTATTGAAACTCACCCTAGTCAGTTCATGTCTGCAGTACACACGCTGTCTGGCTTCTGATTCGCTTACAAATGTACCTAACTGTGTAGACCGCATCCCTGGTTTAGTGGATCGCGGAAGGCCGGGGGTTCGATCCCCGGCCGCCTCACACTTTAAAAGAAAGACGCAAGGATGGTACTTGTTGTTACCGTGCCTGGCGCTCGGCATGAGGGGTGGAAATAAGGACTGGTCGGTTCTTGCACGCACGCACGCACGCACGCATGCTGGTACATAAAACATCATGCCACTCCACTGGCTACGTTCCCAGGTATCAGGGATCTTTGTGGTGCTGTCCAATACCGACAATTCGGGGTTTGGGCACGACACATACTGTAATGTTATCCATTCACCACACCACTCTATCTTTATTAAAACACACACATCCACTCATACACACACGCACGCACGCGAACGCCTGCACGTCGCCATAAAGATGAAATGATCTTGACCGCGACTTGAACTGCGATTCACCTCACCTCACCTAATTGTGTCCGACAGCTTTGTCCTAACGCTTCTGTATAAGTTCTCTTTTTCTACCAGCAATACAACCATTGTTAACATCAAGAAAAGCTGTTCTGAAGTTGAAAGTATAATAATTATGTTACTGCACTGTATTTTCTCCTTGAAAAAGATATCTATATAACTTAACCATTTTGGTATTAGTCATCAGTAAACATTGCATGAACACCGAAGACAGTTTGGTTGAAACGAACAAACGATTACCTTTTTGCACGCACCTGATAACTTTACTATCTGGTAGTGATTCATTAACACATGCTTCTTACATAGCGGGAATCGCACAGTGGACGCTGCTTTTAGCAGAGATTTCCAAAGATTATTGAAAGAGTGTTGTCACTTATATTTAAATAATGTATCATGATGTATACTATAAACGAAACGTTGTTTGCTATGAGTTCGTTAAATAATAATACCATAAATTGTCTTCTAGGTAGGAGTCTAAATATTTACAGTGGGAAACAGTTTATTGTTGCATTGCTTCCTGCGTTCAATAACCAAAAGACCACCGGATATCTCCTCATCGGACATACACAGGAAGGGCTGTGCACTGTGACAGACAGTGATGGGACGGAGCATGATGTCAGGCTTCAAGGAGATAACCGCGTAACGCAGTTTGATATCCCTTTAGCAAGAGTACTGAACTTCGGAAGTTACATCGAGAAACGAGCAATATACCTAGACTGCAACGTGGAAGTTATTTTGAGAGTTTTCTTTCGAAGACAAATGGAAGGAACTGCTGATGCTTATACAGCCCTCCCTCTCCAGTCTCTTTCCACCAAATACATCATACCATCAGTACCACAGAATGCCATACTGGGGGTTGTTGCTGCCACAGACAATATCACCATACATATTGACATGATGTCCAATTGCTCGTACTCTTTTAAGGGCAATACGTATAGTCGAGGAATGCGGCTGACTACAATCCTGCAGAAGAGGCATGTCCTTCAGATTGCCTCTTCATCATCGACTGAGTATCACAACTGCGACATGGGAGGGACGACAGTCGAGGGTAGTAGTCCTGTAGCAGTGTTTTCTGGATCTCCTGCATTGGATTATCCTCTGAATCACGGAGATGCCGTTCAAAATCAGATTCCTGGGGTTAGTGGTTGGGGAACTAGTTTCATTGTATCCCCAGTGCCAATAATGGATAAATATAAAATTCGGATTGTGGCAATGAACAATGCCACCCACATCACTACCGAAACGCCCACTGCTGATACATCAATTATTCTGAATGAAGCAGAGTTCAGGGATGAAGATTTCAATAATTCTGAGATAACTTATGTCAAGAGTTCTCAGCCTATTCTGGTACAACTGACGTCAGGAAACCATGTTGGGTTCCAAGCCTTCTCCGCCATAGTTCCATCTGTTGACGATTATGGCACTGTGTATCTCGTACCAGACATTGAAATCAGTCAGGTAAATTACACGCGTCATATCACCCTCATCACAAACCCCAACTGTACATCAGACATTGATGTCAACACAACATGGACAACTTCATCAACAGCTTCCCACACCGCCTCCATCTCCAGCTTCCGGGCACCGTCTGCAATGACAGTCATTAGAAGCAAATCGTCCGTGTGTCAATTTGCGGTGTTGGTAACTGGTCTTGGAAACATTGAAATGTATGGATATTTCGACAGGCCAATGATACATGGTAATTTGCATGTCATATCAAATTTCCTACATCTGAATACTAAGCAAATTTACTATTCCAATTACAAAGCATCTGTTTAACATTATAACAAAGGTGAACAAGACTTTTTTTAATTAAACTGAATAATAATTTGTGTTTTGGATGGCCGATTCATCTAATTCGCCGCGATGCGCTGTTCAGACACCTACGGCCATGGTTCGAATCCAAATTTCGCCCTGATGATGCCTTTAGGTTTCTTAGCACTATACCCGGGTCGTTGGTTTCCTCAAAGTGTAAACGTCTGAGACCTGCATCCCCTCGGGCTTTCCTTCCACATGACGCTGACACGTGGTGATATCTGACAAAAATAGTGTTAAAATCGCCTTAAACCAATCACACTCATTCATGGTATTATAATATTTTCAGATTCCCTTACTTCCGTGACCTTTCTAAATGCCACAAGGAACCGACTACCCGCAACAGATGACGATGCCCTCACACTGCTCTGTGCAACCAACCCCATGAGAGGACAGCCGGAGATCATCTGGACGAAAGACAACCAAACTGTTACAGATGACGTTGCGTCTGAGTCAAAGGATGTTCGTGGAGAAACGGTGCCCACGAGCGTCTTCACATTGACTGTCTCCTGCAGCGACCATCTGTCAGAAATCTCATGCAAAGCTATTTACAAAGACGTCCAAATATCATCAACAGGACTAACGATGTTTGTCCATTGTACAAAGGGTAATGTAAAAAGCGTAAAAATATAATTAGCAACAGTGCCTTACGTGTTGTCGTACTCACGGCTGTGACGTCTCTTGGACAGTCCTATTTTCACCCAAGTCATGATCCTTGGTTTGTCAGCGCCATACGCAAGCATTTTGGCTTCATCGCTGTGATACGTGTTTAAGACCAGCATCACTTTGGGTTTTCCTCCAGTATTAAGATTGCACGTGGTGATATATCAGACATACTGTTCAAAGCAACGTTACACCTAACCTACTGACTTAATCGTTTACATGTCAGTTTTATTGGCCCAAAGTATACGCATTCTACATGTGTCATCTCACAGAGTACTAATTGTTTAAGCTAGTTTAATTCATTGGTTAATGGCGTTAGGACATCAGGCTACCGGAGTACTATGTCGATCGGGTAGTACGAGTTAAGCATGACGCTACTATACTGTTTGACCCAGTATACGACCATACTGTTTGACGAGGTCTGCAATTCCGTTTGATCCAATATGCTGTAACAGTTCTGTTTGACTCAGTATGACGTTCTATTTAACCCAGACCCGTGACGATCCGGGGTAGAATAGGTCTTCAGCAACCCATGCTTGCCGTAAAAGACGACTATGTTTGTCGTAAGAGGCAACTAACGGGATCGGGTGGTCAGGCTCGCTGGCTTGGTTGGCATGTCATCGTATCCGAATTGCGTGGATCGATGCTCATGATGTCAATCACTGGATTGTCTGGTCCAGACTCGATTATTTACAGACCGCCATCATATAGCTGGAATATTGCTGAGTGGGGCGTTAAACAACAAACAAACATGTACTGTTTGACCCTTTTTACTTCCCTTTATATATATATTTATGAGTATCACAGCGAAGTATGTCTACGTTATTAAAAGTGACAAGATGATATTTAAAAGAAAAACATTGTTTCAACGGTAAACTTGAACTATCCACAGTGTCACTATAACGGTGCTCTGTTGTCTACATACAACACACCAGAAAGTAGATTTCAAGATTTCGTAATAAGTAAAAATTGTGCAACAAAACAGCCGATCAACATTATTTGTTTCAGAAATCTCAGGCCCGTCTTTGAAATATATGAATAATCGCTTCCTTGTGTCCTTTTATACAACGCTAGCTTGGTCTTAAGATTGAGATATGGCTGAAATGTTGCCGATGTGACGTAAAGCATTAACTCACTCACTCACTTAAGATTGAGACAAGAGTGATAAATTCGGATTGTTTGGAAGAGACATGTTGTTTCACTGAGAGCTCTATAAATTATTACATATGATTTTTAATTTAGTATTTTGTTACAACTACATGTATGTTAATGTATATTTGGATGTAGTATCATAAAACTATATTATTCCCTTATATCCTATAGGCGTTGTAGGTGATGGGTTTGAAGAAGGGCTAGGAGTCGGAATCGGAGTCGGCGTTGGATCTATTGCTGTAGTGTTGCTGTTGGCAGTTGCTGTTGCTGTATTCTTTTTCTGGAAGAGAGGATTCCGTGAGAAAGAGGGTATGTAAGTGTCATTCTGACATCAAGCTCCTGACTTGGAATATACCCGCACCAGCGGTGATGGTGTATGACAAATTTACGTCATATCATTGTTATTTTGTTAAGTCGGGTATATAATTATCAGTGATAATTAGACATGGACATTAAAGCTTAAGAATTGGAGGTGTTTTCATAAAAAAAAGCGTGAGTTAGATTTCACGCCGATCCATCCATATATTGTCGATGGACCAAAAATAGGTTTCACAAATTGAGTGAATGAGTGAGTGAGTGAGAGTTGTGTATGAAGCGGCATTGTGTAGCGAAAGTCTCAATGCTACGAGTGTTAATACGTTTACCACTTTGGTAAATTCCACGAACTCTGGCAATGTGCTGACAAACCTAAAAACATTTTCACGATCATAGATTTTTGGCAAGCCTAAGGGACGCAACTCTGCACAACGAATTTCAACGACCCCGTGCCCCTTTAGAAACATTACCAATGAAAGAGTGACGCTGTTGATGTGTTTCTCATTTTACTTTTCTTGGTTTGTAGATGACCAGTCGCTCCCACCGGCACATAGCAACCGTGGATACGACAGCATGGACCCGAACATTAGCGTGGTGTTCAACCCTCACATATACGACAGACTTCCACTGTAGCGATTGGTCCAGCACTCTCCATAGTGATCATAATGCAACGTGCAATTAGGTTACACCTTCGTTGAGCATACACAGAATGGAATTGTCACATTATACGTTTTTACTGGTCGTGTAAACCTCCATAGACATCACCGTGTAGTCCTGTGAGGAGTTCGTGGCTTTCAGTTCAACTACCTGTTCGTTTGTATACAGAGAGGAATGGCACCTCAAAGAGTGATTTGTTTGTTTGTTAGTTTGTTGTTTAACGCCGCACTCAGCAATATTCCAGCTTGTAATACAGGCGGTCTGTAAATAATCGAGTCTGGACCAGACAATCTAGTGACTGACATCAAGAGCATCGATCCACGCAATTGGGATACGATGACATGCATCAACCAGGTCAGCGAGCCTGACCACCCGACCCCGTTAGTCGTCTCTTACCACATCCGGAATACAGTGAGTGAGTGAGTGAATTTTGTGTATAGTTTCCGTCATTTGGAGTAGTCACCGAGTACTAGATTTTGTATCAGCAAAATATAATGTTCCCGAGCATGCTCTTACTACCAAAGTTTCTAAGAACGTCATACGACTCTTGTTCAAAAGATGTTTGATCAAGGCCTCAGTAAAGCTTTCAAAAATTTTATGGGGGACATGTGTAGGACTTTCCTAATTCGACGCATGAGTGACAATAATGATGTCCCATGCAATTCCCTTTTTTTCACTTTCATGTAATAGTTGACTTGCCTTTGCATGAGTTTGTGACGGGTGCCAACGGTGGGGTAGGATACGCTCCCCTTCTCGCGAACACCTGGTATCACCACTATTTGATAGTGAGTCATAAACACATGCTCATGATACCGTCGGAATCGTACAATCGACACTGCTTTTAGCAGTGATTTCTTATGAATGTTTTGGTCGATTTCTTAAAAAAATAAACACAACAATCTAAAGACGATATCTTGAATTGCATAGGTATTACATATCTGCATCTCTTTAGTGTATAATGTATAATATAATGTGCATATAACATTACCATGTGAGTCAGCAATTATAGTTTGTAACCTCACGAACGACACCCTATAGCATATTTTACTGTAACATATTACACGTCATACACCCTGTAGCGTACGTTCATATGTATATGTCAATATGTACGACCTTAGGCTTGTATAAATATGTACATAGTAACTTATATTTATAATTTAATCGTATTGACTATTGGAGCTGTCCACTTGTGCCTGGAATAAAAGAACTCTGTCTTCAAATAACTTGATGGAATTGATCATTCTTTACCCTAGAGAGTTTCACACTGTCACGAAAAGCGTACACACTGGTCTGTCTTTGTGGAACATATGCCCTTGAATGCCATCTGTGTACTTCCATGTCATTGATGGTCTTCCGTGTTCCCTTGTGCCCTACATATACTCCCATGTCTCCATACATCCGACCGCTGCAGAGAGCGGAAGGTCCGGGGTTCGATACCCGGCCGCGTCATACCAAAAGACGTTAAAAGAAACTTGTTGTTACTGTGTCCGACGCTCGGCTCTAAGGGGCAAAAACAAGGACTGGTCGGCTCCAGTGACTGACATCATGAGCATCGATCAACGTAATTGGGATACGATGACATGACCATTCGATCCCGTTAATCACCTTTACGACAAGCATAGTTCCCTTTTACTGCAAGCATGGGTTGCTGAGGACCTATTCTACCCCGGATCTTCAGGGGTCAACAATAAAGTAATAACGTGGTTGTTAAGAAAGTTCGCTTTGCGTCAAGTTAACTTAACTGACAATTACAAATGAGACAAGGAAGGGTGATATCATTTAAAAATTATGCTGGTAATAAGTAGCAGACTTATAAGTAGTGTGGACATCCGCCTAGCGGATACATCTGGTCTGAGTCTATGCACGGGGAAGCATGCCGCACTGTGCGTATCATATACAAGATGTCATGAGGTACAGTACACTGCCATATGTTGTGTGTACTGCATACTCTATAACGAAGGTGGCTCCAACTGACGCCTAAATCACTCTTCCAGTCCAAGTCTACTTGCATGGTTTTGTTTAATGTATTCAGTTTACTGAGGAGGCCTTGGTGTTGCCACCATCAAGGCCCATCCTACTTCATTGACTGTCTACTCCAACTTCCTGGCAGGTCGAGTGTTCTAATTGTTTCTGTGTGGTGAGTCATCTTAACTGCCGGCAAAGGAAAGTTTTCATCCAGCGTATGTCAGTGAGTGAGTTGAAACCCACGAGCACGGGTATGGTGCTGACAAACCTAGAAACATAATCGGGGCGAACCGAGATTCGAACCCACAATCATAGGTTTCTGACGTGCCCAAAGGACGCAACTCTGCACAGCGAATCGCGGCGCTTTAGACGACTGGGCCACCCGTGCCCCCTCATAGAGGAAACCACATGGCCTTAAACCATGTGACACTGTTCGGTACATGGGGCGGTTCACTCAAACATTGTATTCATACGCTGTTTCTAAGGTTACTTAATTGCGTAAAATACATCCGAAATATCGACCAGTTTAATCATGACATTATAAGAAAAAGAGAGTATTACACTCGTGTTTTTTCGTATCACATACTAGGCACAAAATATGTTTTATGCTCACCAAATGATCTTCTTCCTTATAGATTACATTTACTATGCGATTGTATTGTTAAAGACTCTCATAATACAATTGTATTCTAAATATATGCGTAGCATAGCCAGCGAATAATCTCTATGTATTGACATTACAATGACATTGTGATCATACAGTTCTGGGCGAGGGAACAGTGACATTAACACAAACTAGAGGATATTTACTGTAAATGTAGGAATAGTTACCATTTCTGCAGTGTGTTTTTTTAATATTGGAGTAGTTACCATTTCTGCAGTGCGTTTTTTTAATATTGGAATAGTTACCATTTCTGCAGTGTGTTTTTTAATATTGGAATAGTTACCATTTCTGCAGTGTGTTTTTTTAATATTGGAATAGTTACCATTTCTGCAGTGTGTTTTTTAATATTGGAATAGTTACCATTTCTGCAGTGTGTTTTTTTAATATTGGAATAGTTACCATTTCTGCAGTGTGTTTTTTAATATTGGAATAGTTACCATTTCTGCAGTGTGTTTTTTAATATTGGAATAGTTACCATTTCTGCAGTGTGTTTTTTAATATTGGAATAGTTACCATTTCTGCAGTGTGTTTTTTTAATATTGGAATAGTTACCATTTCTGCAGTGTGTTTTTTAATATTGGAATAGTTACCATTTCTGCAGTGTGTTTTTTAATATTGGAATGGTTACCATTTCTGCAGTGTTTTTTTTAAATATTGGAATAGTTACCATTTCTGCAGTGTTTTTTAATATTGGAATAGTTACCATTTCTGCAGTGAGTTTTTTAATATTGGAATAGTGACCATTTCTGAAGGATCTTATTCTTAGCATCCAATGGTTGTGAAATTTGAAATTTAACAAACTGGTGTAGCATATGTTAAACGACAGCAAAGTTTACTTGGTGGTATATATAAAATACTTACAGTATGGTAATTGCTAACAGTCGACGTGTATCGGTGAGCTTCATTTCTGTGGATGTCATAATGTCTCTCACGTAAACAACTTTAATGCCGGATTGTACTTATTAATGTACATCAACATATCTACAAAACATGGAGCACAGTGAAAGGTTGATAACAGAACGGGAAATGGAACACATGGGATTCCGGAAGTCAACAAATCATGTAGAGGCAACGGGCGTGTTCGGTGTGTGATCAGTGTTAGTTTATGGAAACAGAGCATCGAGCATCTGTGATGGAGTGATACGAGTGATTAAGAGTGCTAAGATACTTCTTTTCGCTGCGTAGAGTTGCTCCTCTGGGATGTCCCAAAAACCACCTCCGTGCTCACCTAAGTGGTACACGTCTAAGACCTGCATCACCTCGGGCTTGCCTCCCACACCAAGCTGACAAGCCGCATTTTAACAGAAATACAGTTCAAATACTCACTCGCTCACTTGTGCAATGCAGCGAGCAATCAATGTGTTCTTCACCATTGTATGTATGAAACATTTTATTACCGCTTCACATTATTTTCGAAGGTCAACGGTGGGTATAATGCGATATAACACGGTATTATGGGTATAATGCGATATAACGCGGTAGTATGGGTATAATGCGATATAACGCGGCGAAAGCCCAGTGTAAAGTGCATCATGGTGCCACCTTTTACCATAATTACAATGGAACTAATGATAGTTTGAAACAAAATGGTAAATTGTAACTAAACATGACACTCACTCACTCACCAACCAACCCACTCACCCACTCACTTACTCGTGTAACTAATAATTATATACCCTACTTACCAAATAACAATCATATGATGTAAATAATTATATACCATTATCGCTGGTGCAGGTATATCCTACGCTTGATGCTCACAGAATCCTCTCTTCCAGAAAAAGAAGACAGCAGCAGCAACTGCCAACAGCAACAGTACAGCAATAGATACATCTTACACAGTCCATTCAAGATATTGCATATGTTTTTCATCTGTTTAAATTTTGACAAGTCTCCCTATGCTAGATAAACATGTGTCATAGAATGGTTAACTTTCATTGAGAAAATATCCTTAATCGTGAAAAACATTCCATTTGCGTAGTTATCCTATGTTTACATTGGTTGTACGGCTCCACGTGCTGTCATCAAGCCCTACGGAGAGCGAGCGATATGGTCATTTTGATGTGTAAATATGTATTGTCACGCAACTCATTGTCGCAGTGTAGTAGCATATTTATAACATTTTGCATAACAAGATGTAAAAGACCCCTAAGTACTTGCATTAGTCCGTTCTATTCTGATTTCTGAAAAAGCGCGTTTGTTGACAAACAAGAGAAAGTCCGGTCACTTGTTATGCAAATTAGCCTGTGGCAGTGGGGTTTTGTCACCACGGCGCCGGAGTGTGCCAGCAAACCTGACGTAATGACAAGTTAAAAGAAGTCAATCAATCAAATCAACGTTGTTTTGAATATAATCCAATCGCATTAAATTATCCATATGGAATCGTGTGACAATATCAGGTAACTCAGACGAGTTGGACGTCGTTGTTGAGTCATGGACCTTAAGTCTCCTACCCAAAAAGGATGCGAGCCAACCTGTTTTGTTAATGATAGATATTATGAAGTAACGTCACAACAGAGCATTTATGACGTCATTCACAATGTGACGTCAACAGTGAATCCGGATCCACAAATTTCATGTGAACATATGGTAATGATCCTTTGATCTGTTTATCTGTCGCCGCGTGCACATAAAGGTCTTTTTTATCCTCATATTAATGTTTTCGGCGCGATAACCACTCATGATCACTTGCAACATGAAACTCACGATGCGTGCTATATTTGAACTGGAATACAACATTTTCCTCTTTGTGACCCATCATGCATCCTTCACATCCGCATCTCATTCGCAACTATCTTGTATTACAGTCGTCTATACGAGAGAGCCTCTCTCAGCTTCAGTGTAGAACTACCTGTGTACGTCTCACGCGATCACACACGGTCAAAGTGTTAAGTTCATTTGTGGTATCCGTCGCCGTGATATTGCAGAAATGTTGCTAATAGCGGCCTAAAGCCATACCCACTCACTCACGCACGATCAAAAGAGTGGTTTTCCATTTCACAGTGAGTATATGTAAACTTCATTTTATTTTTCAAACTGGAAGATATTTTACTGATAATTTTCGGTCGAAATGACATACTTATTGATTACCTGAAGTCAATGCCTGTCATATCAAAGAGTGAGTGAGTGAGTGAGTTGGGTTTAACGCCGCTTCAAACAGTATTCCAGTTATACCACGGTGTGTCACCTTAATGTGGGAGGAAAGCCGAAGTGATGAAGGTCTCAGACGATTACCACTTCGGTGAAACCCACGAGCACGGGTATGGTGCTGACAAACCTAGAAACATAATCGGGGCGAACTGGGATTCGAACCCACAATCATAGGTTTCTGGTCTGCCTAAGGGACGCGACTCTGCACAGCGAATCGCGGTTTAAACGACTGGGCCACCCGTGCCCCCTCATATCAAAGAAGTACAAAGAAGCGATATTTTGCTCCTGATAAGGTCGTGTATAAGGTCCAGATTCACAAATGCAGTGTGTACATAGGAATGATTCTTTCATCATTATACATACGTTCCTAAAACTATACTTCCGGAAATCAAGGTATCTGGACTAGCAAGATCCGGACTAATATAACGAGGTTTCACTCTATCGGTGAGGTGAGATGGGGTTGAACGTCGCGTTCAAGATTATTGCACTTATATGGCGACGTGCACGCAAGAGTGTGTGTGGCTGCTTGTACTAGACGTGACTTATGCCGATTTCATAGTGCTAGCCCACTGAGACACCATGCCGCAGTTTAACATGAACATACATAGTATGCTGAATCCGAGCCGACCAGTCCTTGTTTTAGCCCCTTAATGCCGAGCACCAGACAGGGTAACAACAAGTTACTGTACCATCTTTTAACGTCTTTTGATACGACGCGGCGAGGGGATCGAACCACCCCTTCCCCTCTCTAGGCTCACACTCTATCCTCTACGCCACGGAGGCGGTCACGTACACATAATATTATGTGATCATAATACTTACATTCATAAAACCGTCCGAAAATCAAGGCTTATGGACTCGCAGTCCAAACTCATATCAGGAGGTGTACCGCTATATATGACAACCTCCAAGACATAGCATTACGAAAAGTATTATGTATAATTTCATGCCGCGTAAGGACTCCGGGTTAGAATTATAGATCCCCGTCAACCTATGCTGCGCTAATGGATCAGTAGGCCAGACGTGGTTCATTGTGTCGTTGTGCCCGAACGGAATGGATCGTTGATGTTCAAAATATCAATCACCGGATTGTCCGGTCCAAATTCGATTATATACAAGCCGCCGTCACATAGCTACAATAATGCTGAGTGCGGCGTTAACTAAAAAGAACTATAATTGGCAGTTGATTTTATCCTGTATTTGATTTTCAATTGAAAATAGTATATCCAAAACATGACATGTACTGGCGCTTAGTCAGCACCCAAAGAATACTTCCACATGATTTTATTGTTTCAAATATAATTGATTTAAAAAAAAAATTAAACTGAAACAGTTTTCTTAATACACAACTGCTGAGAGGTATCTTAGACATCTTTGAAAATAAATATATTTGCTTTTTTCGGCACAAGTTTACAATATGGTAGGGGTCATGATCATGTCGTTGCAAATCCATTTCTTAGTCCAGTCTCCAATTTATTTTAACACAAATTTACCCAGCCACAGATTACTTTTTACAAACTGTTGCAGCAATCAGTGATGGTTAAATAGACAAAATCAAATTTAACAACAGTTCTTTCAAATTTCAGGTACTTGAAAGACAAACTCGTAATAGTTTCTTTAGCCCTTTAGTTTATAAACAAACAAACAATTTTGAAATAAAGCAAAATAAGTTTGCCCTTTGTAGTCTAACAAAAATCCCTGACAAAATATAACAACAGAAGTTATCATGTCCTCGTATACAGACTATCCTCATACATCACAATCATTAAGAACTGTCCTAGTTCAGTTGACCTCGTTCAGTTCCTGCACAGATCGTCGTGCGGATGTCAGGAAACGGATTTTTTTATTTCTCGGGAAAGTTATAAATTCGGCAATGAATTTCGGAAACCAGCATTAAAAGGAAGCCGTGTATTCTACATGGATGTTGATAACATTTTCTCGAAGCCAACCAGGCCAACATGTCATATACACCGTGACATCTTTAAAAAGAGGGTGGTCGGGAAGCCTCGTGGTTACAGTGTTCACTCGTCACGCCGAAGGCCTGGGTTCGATTCCCCACATGAGTACAAAGTGCGAAGCCCATTTCTGGTGTCTCCTCACCGTGATGTCGCTTGAATATTGCTCATGTTGTGCAACTTCCAACTCACTCACTCAAGACAACAACCACAGCAATGACCTCCACTTAAAGCCATCAGACCGTGTAAACTCGTTACAACGCGTTTAAGTGTATCTGTCAAATCGATTGTGTTGAAGTCATTCCGAGTGAGTGAATTTGGTTTTACGCCGCTTTTAGCAATATTCCAGCAATATCACGGCGGGGGACACCAGAAATGGGCTTCACACATGTATCCATGTCGGGAATCGAACCCGGGTCTTCGGTGTGCCAAGCGAACGCTTTAACCACTAGGCTACCCGACCGAAATTCCGAAATAAGGGATTGCTACTTTGATAATATACTAACGAAACATTGTAACCATTATGCTAAGAACACCTATGAAGAACTACAACACTACACCACCGTCGACTAAGGCGCCGCGATTCGCTTTGCAGAGTTGCGTCCCTTGGGCACGCCAGAAACCTATGATTGTGGGTTTGAATATCGGTTCGCCCCGATTATGTTTCTAGGCTTGTCAGCACCGTACCCGTGCTCGTGGGTTTCACCGAAGTGGTAAACGTCTGAGACCTGCATCACTTCGGGCTTTCCTCCCACATTAAGCGGACACAACCCAACTCACTCACTATCAAAACACCACCGACAGAGTTCTAAGAATGGGCGTCATCGCCCTAGATACTTCGTGTTCTTGCCTGAAATATCCTCATCAAAAGTTTCATTTTAACATCAGGTGTTTCCTTGCAAATGCCTTTTTATTTTGGCAAACAGGCAACCATTTACAACGAATTATTTTACGCACTTTCACATTTCGAACCTGTACTCATAACCTGATAACTAGATGTGTGCAAAATAAGAGACAATACGCGTCAGAAATTCCCTTTATACAAATAGTAAGTAGAGTTTAATGCGAACCTATTCTCAGCTGCTATAGAAGCTATAGAAGCTATATGATATCAAATTTACACATCCCATGACTTCAACGAAAATTAAGGAACAAGACAAGTAGAAGTTTAACGGTTTGGCCTTGAACTCAAACAAATCCTCACTGGCCATATTTTCAGTATTTCGACTGTTAAATCGTGGCAATGAATTCGAAGAAATAAAATGAATGAACAATGATTTTAAGTATTAGGTAGTCAGTTGTTTTAGATGTGAACATTTACACTTCAGGCTAACGCTTTATGTCAACTGGCCAGTGGGTGATCCGGAAAGCTATCGTCAATCCTGCAACGCGTGTGTGCTTTGAACATGGCCCTGTGTGGTGCGGTAGTAGTTAGTAGTAGTAGTAGTAGTAGTAGTAGTAGTAGTAGTAGTAGTAGTAGTAGTAGTATCGTTATTATCATATTTTACAGATTTAAAAAAATAATTGCAGAAAAGAGGGTTCAGATGGTGCTGGCACAAGTGCTGTGCAAAGGTTCAGTTTATTATGAAATTATCTCATACCTGTCTGTGACGAACTCATTCATAGTAAGGTTATTTACTAACTTTACAAAGATGTGCAGTGTATAATGTAGTCTAAACTTCATTCAACAACCTTTGCATTGCATATTTCATGGCCATACTTTGGTGAACAAATATTGTCACATCCGTTTACATGTAGATGTTGTGTCTGATACATATTGAACCTTTGTTGATATCATCCTTTATCATATAATGGGTAGGTTTCTCGGCAGGATAAAGCCAACGGATAAAAACGATATCCGTTGGGGTCATATGCGGATAGAGATGCAAATATCAAAGGTCAAGTAGGACTACTTTCACTGTTTATAAACAAGCATGGCGTCGCCCTCGTAATTCGGCGATCGAGTCAGAATTAACCATCGTGAATCTGGATAAACTACAGGGATTATTGCTATCATTATCAAACGAACAGTCTAATATACTGAAAATCAGTGTCTAACTGTGACGTAGCTAAGGCATTTTATAAGTTTTGGCAGCTTTCGAGATATAAATTTCGAAACAATATTGCGAGGGCACGAGGCCTAGCCAAGCGGGATCAGTAGCCATATCTGTGCTTGTAGACCTCTGTGGCTTGAAACCTTCTCCACAAATCAAAATGGTTGGATTCGGCCGAAATATGTTTGAACTGTTACCTTGTTTCGTTTTGTCGCTGTGTGTACATCTGACTACACTTCTTAACGTTATGAAAGGACAGACCGACTGTCAACAACGTCTGACCGTGGCCGTGACGTCTCATAGACTAGAGTTAGAGTAGCTTCCCTTTGACAAAGGGCAGTTACTCTAGCGGACAGACCGATGGATTGCCGCGAAAGGCAATTAAAAACAACTGTTGTTTTGCCTATAAGTTGCTTCGCCACTGTATAAGAAACAAATTTCAGTTGGAACTATATTGGCTACTGTCACTGTCCGACTGACTAATCACTTACCCTGTGACGTAATAAATATTAATGCGCGCATTCCAGGAAAACTCGCAATGTTTCGGTAATGTTTGTGAGAGAGGGAAAGCGATTTTAAAGCACAGAATTAAAGAATGACATTATATGATAAAGAGGTTATCACGCTTGTGTGTTTGGGGATGGTAAGGCTCGCTAAATACAATGTTTATTCCTAATGCAGGATATTTACCATCCCCAAACACACTCGCGTGATAACCTCTATTTATGTTTTTAGTTCCTGTTCTCAAAGCATCTACTATCATATATCTTTGTACCGATCCTCACGCAACCAAGGACAAACAGTGATATCTTTGGTAAACGTATTGATGTTGTCAAAGAGAAT